AAACAGTTCTTCAGAATGTCTTTGTCTTACACAGAAAAAAAAAATGGAATGCGAGTGTGTAAATGATGACATAATTTTGATTTCTGGGTGAACTATCTCTTTAATCTACCTTTCAACAGGCAGTTAATTTTCCTATTCTTAAAAATCCACATAAATTCCCTAATGTTCCCTCTATGTTTTACAAACTTCCCAGATGCATACCATATATATTTCCTATTCGACAAACTATTTTCCTGTTTGACACTGTAAAGCTGCTTTGACGCAATCAGTATTGTATAAAGCGCTATATAAATAAAGGTGACTTGACTTCATTCAAATGAAGTGCACTAGAGATGCTCATCTTTAATATGTGCAAGAGTCTGTGAGCTGTATAAACTGTTTTTGTACTCATAACAAAGGTAAGAGGCCAGGGGAGCGGACGGTAGATACAGTGTAAAGGATGAGACTGAGGAGAGAGAGACAAAGATCCGTTCTAGAGACTGTTTGAGTGCCTTATTAAATATTTAGTCTGATTGTACACGGTCCTGTAATTGCCATCTTGGCTAGTGAATAATTGATGACGTGTAGGAGAGCAAAGGAGGGCCCCAATCTCTCTCTCTCTCTCTCTCTCTCTTATGCACATATCCACACCTTGCCTTTTTTGTACACCTTTATTGTTAATATAATCCTGTCCTCATTAACTAAAATGATTCTGAATTCAGGACAAAGTCGGTAAAATTATATTATAACCTCTGGTTCGCTTCCGGAATATTCTTTTTGCTATTATACAAAAAATAAATTATTGGACTGCACTAAATTATTGCCAGAAATTCTATTATATAGCTTTAAAATAATTACACACACCGTTAGCTATAACCAGGCTATTCAGATGGCTAGAAAGAGCAAATGCAGTCAAATGCTTGTGCTTTGATTCTACCTTTTCCGATACAGTGAGATAAATGGATATCAGTCAGTGTGTTGAGAGACCTGTGAACGGGACAGAAAGCAGCATGCTAATCTAATGTAGAGCCTATGAGAGCGATCGGCATCCAGCTTAAGCGTCCCAAAGAAAGAGCATCTTTTCATAGAAAGCAACGAGCGCTCACAGCAAATAGTGGCCGAGAATTGGAGCCATGGCAGCTTTTAAAAATACCTCTGCTGAAATATTGATTTTTTTTCTTCTTCTTCTTCTTGCCTAATGTAATAAGTGAGAGACTCCAGGGATGTGTGTGTATGTGTGTGTGAGATGATGGGTGAGCAGACAAGAGATGCTCTTTTTCACACATCACATGAGGACTTTTGTGTGTGTATGTGTATGTATTTATATATGTATATATGTAATTTTACGTTTAATTCAATGTGTTACTTGTCATTTCTTTGTAATTGTGAAAGTTACTAGCAATTTCTGGGTGAAAATTGTTTCAAAGTAAATCTTATACCAAATATTTGTCAGTGTGGAGAAAAAGCTCTTTGAGGGGATAGTGCACCTCCAAAACATTTACTCATCTTCAAACTTGTTTGACTTTCTTCTGCGGAACACAAAAGAAGATATTTTGAAAAATAGCTTAATAGTGTGAAAAATAGTTTAATAGATAATAGTTTTTTTTTGCCCATATTGTATTATGAAAGTCAGTGGGGTCCAAAATGACATTGGTTATATGACTACAGGTTAAAACAGTTAATACATTCTTCAAAATAATGACATCTTTTTAATATCGCAGTTTTTAATATATACCAAGAATATTGAATGGTAATCTCCACTTTATCAGATTTTTCTCCAGTGGCACTAGTAAACTCTCATGTGTCTCCTCTAGTGTTTCTGAAAAGATCTCAACAGTATCTCAAACTGTGCTCAGATTTGCTAAGACACCAAAGTCTGCAATAAAAAGTTTGAAATCTCCATATGAACTCATCAATGCTTCAGAAACCAGATTATCTGAGCTGTACTACCCACAACAATTTCACACCTCATACTGTTTCATTTTAATCATGTATTTTTATTTCTCCGATGGAATTTTAGGAGAGACAAAGTTGATACTTCAGTCAAACCCCAATAGGTGTCCTGAGCTTTGAAAGAGTAACAATTTTCTTCTGGGACTACTAATTCCATAATAATTTTGCCCAGATTTTACATTTTGCTCTTTTTTTATACACAAGCTCTCAGGTTTTGTCCATCAGAGCAACTAAAACATACCAAACATACCATTTGTTCACCAGCATCACCCATAAAACAACCCAAACTCCCTTTTTGCAAGTATTGAAGAGTTGTAAACACTCATTTGGTCTCACACAGCTAAGGTCAGGTCTAGACGAGGGGCTGCCGTAGGGTTTTTCTCAGAGCCACAGGTGAGAGACCTGGCCTTCACAGCTTCTACTTTACCAGCCCTTCTGGTCTCTTTTCGGCCCCAGAGCCCCTTCCTTGCCAGTCCCTCGAGTTAGAGACAGAGAGATGGAGAGAGAGAAGTGGAGAGGGTGCTGTAGACCAGCAGTAATTCCTGACTCGGAGTTGGAGGCACATTAGGGACTGACAGGGCCACACATCCCCCTGTAATTGATTGCAGGCCAGCGTAATGAGGTGACGGCTTACAACAGAGTTGCCAACTCCCTCATTATCTTTACCCACTTTTTTAAGAGCAGAAAGAGAGAGAGACAGAGAGAAGGATGGAGAAAAAGAAACACTGAGACTAATAACCTAGCCCTGGCTCTAGAAGGTCATTAATTATTTATGTTGTTTTAATAAGTTTTAGATGGGGAGGGAGAGTTAGTCTTTCCCTTCTCTGTCTTTCTCTGTCCACACCTCAATTGTGCCTGTTCTGTCATTCTGTCTTTTCCTATAGCTGTCTGTCCATTTCATACTGGGGTCTTTCTATCACAGGTACAATATCAGTCATTGCAAAGGCCTCGAGGGGACTTCAGGATGATATTTATCCTCACTTGGAAATGAAAACGCTCTGTATTTCTGAAAGTGACAATGATATGATATGATTATTGTATATATGATTCAAAACAATTTTTTTTGCTTTTATTCTGTCATTCTGTGCTAATTAGCAAGGAGAAGTTTTTTTTTTAATAGCCTGATGGCCGCTATAACGCTTATATGCATTATGCATTATGCATATATATATATATATATATATATACATACAGTATATATATAATTATAATATTCAGTATGTTTTAATTGACATGTTTACTGAATTTTGTTTATTACACAGTACAAAGACATTAATTAATTTTTCACCTTCAGTTGCTGGTCCCCACTGACTTGCATTTGTGTTTTTTTTTCCATACTATGGAAGTCAATGGGGACCAGCAACTGAAGGTGAACTATCCCTTTAAGCTTTGCAATATAATACATTTGAGAATTGCAACATCTATAGGTTGAGCATAGAAAAACTGGCCCATAAAGCATTTCTGTTTGATTTTAGTCTAAATATTTTATGTGGTTATGAACAGCAGGTCAAACTTGCTGTTGAGTAAATTGCATTTAACCCAGAATATTCCTTTAAAGTCTGCTGGTTACACTGGACTGTTTCAGAATCTGCCCTGCTTGTGTCTTTCCACTCGCCCCCGTTTTCCTGTCTGAGATCTCCATTCCACCCCAAGCCTTGTCATCTAAAAGCAGCTCTTCCCCCCTCATCCCGCTCACTTCCAAACACTGGGCTAGTCCTGCCTCGATCCGAAGGGAGCCGACCTGCTTTGAAATGCTGCCGCTTTTCCAGGATGAGACCTGGAATCTCACATTCCCTGTCAACTCCTGCCCAGTGGCAGATGGAGAAGTCTAGACCTACGAGACTCTCCCATCACGTGCTTCTCTCTCCCCCTCCACGCCCTCATCTCTTTCTCTCTCTCTCTCTCTCTCTCTGTTCCCTGTGTTTCGCCACTCTGAATGCTCTGCCATTCCAGAACCGCCAAAGCGGGACGGGTTTCAGCCCACAATTCAGGCTTGATTCTCTACTTTCAGATGGTGACTGGGGTGGTGTATAAACACAGTACTCCTCTAATATCTGAGAAGAGCTTCACTTACAGCCCTTGTCTCCTGCTGTGTTTTAATTCAATCCTTATTGATCCATATCTCTCCTTCCAAGGACTCCAATATCATATGAATGGAGCTCAGGGATGGGTTCCCCATATTATTGTATTCCATGGCCATAAAGGGCATTAGCAGCCAGCAGAGCAACCCAGATCAAGTATCAGTCGATACTAGCTAAAGAGAGCAGGCTTTCTCCCTTTCTCTCTGTGTTTCTCGCTGGATTTCTCTCTTTCCTATCTCTCTCCGTAAGAGCGCTGATGGGGTTAAAGTATATATGGTGATTATATCATGCGGTAAAGTGAGGTTCTAAAAAAATCCCTTGAGTTAGCACCGTGTGTTTTTAAAGATATTGTTACTGTCTTATTAGGGAGAAATCAATGGCATCTGCAGATGCCGGCCATTTATATAGCAGACGGTGCTTCTCTCGCTGTTTTTTCTCCCAGCATCATTCTCTCTGTGCGCTCCGTGGGGTAGCAGTGGCGGAGGTTATCCTGTGGTTAATGTGACATGGCTGTCTGTGACCTTGCTGGTTGTTAACTGCCCGGATTATTATTGTGATAATGTGGCAATTAAAAGGAAAGCACTCCATCAAAATAGTGGGGCTTATGGTCCTGGAGATGAATGCATAGAGATTACCAGCCAGGGGAAATGCATTAAGACTGCAATCCATTTCGTACTGTAGCCCACCTCTAGCAGTGGAGGCTATTATGGCTCATCTTCATTGATATCCATTCCCGATCAATAGCGCCAGGCTGAGGTAAAAATACGAGTAAATCAACAAAGCTAGAGTTGGTCTTCGATATAAAGGAAGAAAAATCAAACCTCAACTCTAACTGCATATCATACATCTACACAGAGTGTCTTCTCTGAGCCGGCTTCGAAAGTGGGCTAAATCACTCATTGGCGGCTGTTTATATATGGAAGCTGTTGTCCTTGAGTGTTTTCGTTGTGTTCGAGTCACTTAAAAATGCTTCTCTTTCTTTTACAGATTTTTCCTGAAATTCTTTCTCAAGTGTAATCAGAACTGTTTGAAAAATGCAGGGAATCCCAGAGACATGAGGCGATTTCAGGTGAGAATGCACATGTACAGACAAAAATGTTGTTTTACATGCACACAAACAGGGAGTAAGGATATTTTGGTGTCTCCGTAGGTGGTGGTGTCCACCACAGTGAACGTGGATGGCCATGTCCTTGCCGTGTCAGATAACATGTTTGTCCACAACAACTCCAAACATGGGAGGAGGGCGCGACGCCTGGACCCATCTGAAGGTAAGTTAAATTTCACAAAAATAAACACATTTTGCTTTCTGTGATGAACGATAGCATAAGTTTGACATTCAAACCACATTTATTATAGTGAAGAAAAAAGTCAAACTTGTTAGTGCTACTTTCTACTTCCTCACCTAGAGTACAGGTAATCTGACTGTCTGAAGGGGCTGCACTGGGTAATGTCACTTTGATATAAAATGCTGAAAGTTTGCGTAGAACATCACCTCCCAGCTGAACTCAGAACAGTTCCTGCATGTGGGAAATTGTGTGATTAGCTCCGTGACTGTTTTGTGTGAAAACTGTCACTGTGGAATCACCGGCACTCCTGTGTCCCAATCGAGGAAAAGGAAAGTCGCTGCTCTACTTTTAGTAAGACTCTTCTGTAATTCTCCAAAGACTAAAACATGAAGAGGAAGTCACTGATGGCAGTGCAATGTGGGAGATGGGCAGGCTTTCATCTTGAACACACTAGAATACCCATGCAGATATTGTAAAAGAGAACAGCTGTTCCATTACACCCCAACAGGTGAATGCAAATCACACCCAGCAGTTGTTTACTTTCATCTATTCATTTTCACAGGTATCAAAATTCCCTGTTTCCAGAGATGTTCACTTGCACAACAAAGAGAACATTCAAAACCAATCAGAAGTGATTTCGAGACAAAGTTTGGGAAATTTGCATTCCCATGATGCTGTTCAAAGAAAGTGGCTGCTGGTATACAACACTACATGCAGTAATGTGGTCTGAAGTTGCACCAAGAGCCCCTCGGTTTGCCTGTTAGCTCGCCAAGCGGTGACCAATCAATTCCCATCCATTGCCAGTGGAGACTGGGCCAGTCATTCAGTCAGCCTGTCTGTCTCCATACCGCCTGCTCAAAGACGAATTTACGCTAAAAAAAACGTAATGGTTTTATTGAGCTGAGTGATGCACAGACACCAAAGAAAAAATCAAATGAGCTTTTACAGTCATCAGACTTCCTGTTTTTCAGTTTTTTTTTTCATTTGCATTGAAGGTATGTGGAGAGTAGAGTAAAACACTGGTAAATGGCAATTAGTTTAACGATAATGTTTCCCAAAAGTTGCATGAACGTTGACACTGACCCGCTCTAACTCAGTGCTTGTGTTGTGATCTTGTTTTCCGAAGCAGCCACTCCATGCATAAAGGCCATCAGTCCCAGTGAAGGATGGACGACTGGGGGGGCCACCGTCATCATCATTGGGGACAACTTCTTTGACGGATTACAAGTGGTCTTCGGCACAATGTTAGTTTGGAGTGAGGTAAGAGTTTTAATAATATTATATATTTTATTTATATTATATTATTATATTTTTTTATTTTAAAGAGCCAAATTATTTTACAAATACAAGGTAAATTTGTAATATTAAAATAATTATTGTTTAAATATTTATTTATTTTTAAAAGATTTATTATTATTTAATGTTTTAATTAAAATGATTTTTTACTTTAAAAATTCTCTTTTACTTTAAAAGAGCCAAACCTTTTGTGATTGTATGTTAATTTATTTTATATGTTATTTTATTTTTAAAGAACCAAATTATTTTAGTTTAATAAAAACATTACAAATAATTATTGTTTAAATATTTATTTATTATCTTTAAAATATTTCTTCAAAAGAATACAGTGCCATATCTATGGTTTGGATAAATCAAATGTGCTTAAATAACTTGAATGCTCTTTAGTTTACTGTTTAATGTTACAAAGAAAAAAAAAAGAGAGACCGTTTCAGAGACAAACAACAAGACACCATAACATAACAGGTCCTATTACAGTATATGGCTAAAACCCATAACTGTGCCCTTTAAGTAATGAATCACTCTTTAGCTTCAGCATTAACTGTGTTAACATTGGAGTCAGTGCTTGTGTATTGAGTGCTGACCACTGAACGTGTGCTCTGATGGCTTCTAGCTCATCACACCTCATGCTATCCGGGTGCAGACACCCCCTAGACACATCCCTGGGGTCGTGGAGGTCACACTCTCCTATAAGTCCAAGCAGTTCTGCAAAGGAGCTCCGGGACGCTTCGTCTACACAGGTATACAACACTTTGCAACTGTCTGGAGTCCTTACCACCATCTCCAGCATCAGAATAAGTTTCTGTCATCTTTCTCGGAGGTCGATCTTTGCATGTCTTCTTTGTCCATTTTATCAAGTGCCCTGCCTTTGTTAGCTTAAAATATTGGGCCTTGTATTATTTGCAGTCCGTAAAGACGGTTTCCCATGATGGCATACTGTTAGCAGGTCATTTCTGACTAACGTCTTGTCTGTACTTTTGGTTGATGTCCATTCTCTTGTGTCCAGTGGGCAAGACGAGTATCATTTAGTCAAATCGATGCTTTTCATACACCGATTATTCCATCAGAATAATCCAGATGCCAGTCAAAGCAGGCGAAAGGTCAGATCTAGGACTGTTTGGTGTGATAAGAAAATGTCACAGCGACAGTCATAAAAGAGAAAGAAAAAGAGGCCTGTGTTCAGGCTTTCTGTTATACATCAGCTTTATCTCAGTGTATTTCCCACGTTCTTTGTTCAAAGCACCTCTCATTCAGATGCATTTGCCGTGTAAGCAACAAAAAGAGACAACTTTACAATGGAGAGGACTGCCCTGTCTTACCTTCGACCGTTCCTTTGCAATGCTAATGTCTGCTCGGACAGACAAGATGATTTGACTGACAGCTGTACGCCACATCGCTTTTATGAATCCTGCATTGTGAATAACTTGAATTTTTCTTAAAGTTCAAAAGAATATTCTCAGTGCGAAGAAAGCGTGTTGCAAATTGTTAGGATGAATGAAACAGGACCTGTAGAATATCTCTGAATCAGAACACATAGACAAAAATAAATGAAAGGTCATAGAAGATAGAGGACAAAGAATTCCTCAAAAATTAAGTTTATTTGTTTATAATAAAAAATTACAATACTAAAAAAAATTAACTATTATTATGAAATATTGTATACAAATATTTACTTGATCTTTTTTATTAAATATATCATTATTAATATTGACATATATACATACTTTTTAAAAAAATATAGCAATTCCAATAAGAATACAGTTTGGAGACTATGCCTAATCTTTCTATTTCTCAAAATAATTTTCTTTTTAGGTTGCAAATTAGATTCACGCATTCATATTTTAGTTTGTGGATTCACTGACGTACATCCAGCAACTTATTTACTGTGCCAGAGATGTGTGATATTCATGAATGTGAAATGAAGCAGGCTTTTAAATACTGAATAGGCAGACTGCGTATAACTGAAGAGGAATGAGAGTGCATCTAACCTCAGTGATGTCTTTCCCACCAGAGACTTCCCATAAGCCCCAGTGAGCTCAACTTTACACTGCATTCCAGCTTGAAAAAAGCTCACTTCTTATCGTCAGACACTTCCAGATGAACACAAGCCAGTTTGAATATTTTGAAAGAGATACATTTAGGTCATCAGAAATTAAGAGTTCAGGCCGTAGGGATTGGGAGGGGGATACGTACATTGGCGAAGGAAAAGAGATACATTTAGGTCATCAGAAATTAAGAGTTCAGGCCGTAGGGATTGGGAGGGGGATACGTACATTGGCGAAGGAAACTGGCATCTCTGTGCAGACACATTATTTTTTATCATATTCCTTTTATCTGCCTTTCATTAGCAGTAATGGACCCCAGAAATGCATCAAAAACGGTCAATGTGCCCATTCTACTGATTGTAGGTTGACTGTCTTATCTTTACTGGAGTGGAAAGCAAGAGCAGCAGTGTTCAAAGCATGTCTTCGATATCACTGCCGTTAACACTGCCATCACAGGAAGTGATCTCACAGTCTTCAAACTGAAGCTTCTGGGGCTGTTAGATAGATATTCTACCGTGGCTTAGTGAAATTCAGAATTCAGTTCAATTTACCAGTTAAAATTTTGTTGCATGGAATTTTTATTTAAATTGATTATGCCCTACTACAGAATGTTATATTGGAATTTGAATTGGAATGACAGGAAAATGAATTTACTTTCAATTCATAGAAATTCAAATAAATCCATAAAATTTTAATAAAAAAAAAATAATTAATTTTTTTTTTAAATAACTGAAATATTTACTATTATTTATATATTGTTTATATTAAAATAAAAATATGAACTATAAATTAAATAATGTACAGCTTTATAATTTCATATATAAAGGCATATATTTCTATATTATATATATTTATGTTGCGTGATTTAAAAACGATACTTATTGCAGTTCATTTCAATTTCTGTTCATATTAATTGTATTTCCTTAAATTCACATTTGAATCCCAATTCTGCATCCTGTTTGCTACCTCAGTTCAAATTCAACTGAAATTCTGTTATTGAATTGTAAATTAAAAGGCTTTCTCAGTTCTGTTTTGAATATCACACAAGTCTGCTCTGCACCTGCTGGCTGTGGCTTTACCATTCTTAGCACTACAGGGAAATGTCTGGCTCTGTCCAAATTTCCCGAAAGCATTTCACGTGTGGCTTGGGCTAGTTAGGACATCTTGTTAAATTAGCTGAAATTTAAGTCCATTCTCACTTTCAGTGTTGCAGCTGGTACCTAATAACTATTACGGCTCTGTTGCTTTCTCACATTTACTCTGTTCTCTGCTGCTCTCCCTTCGGAGAGATCTTCACTCTTATTCTGTTAGTTCTCCTTTCTGCCTGCATGCATCATTAAGTCCTTCAGTCCACCAGCTCTTGTCTCTCTCTGTCTCTCAGGGGGTTAAGACTCCCCAGGTGCTGGGTTAGAGGAAGGAGGGCAAGATGAGTGTGAAGAGCCTAAGGGTATTGACTTTCCTGGGAAAACACAGCTCTCTAAAATCAGTAGCCAAATACTGCAATAACTCAACAGCCATTGATCCTCTTTCCCCTACGGCCACATTGATCTATACATTACAAGCTCTGAGACTGGCGGCATGGATCCAGCCTACGCTAACACAACCTTCCCAATCGCCTGTAACTTACTGCCTCCGTCATTATAATCATAATAATAATACATGTGACCAGAAGTAATGTATTCAGTATGATACAGCTGAATGACAGAAAATCGTGCCTCTGGTTTGTAAGTGTTCGAGCTGTATTTGGGGCATCAAAAAGTCGGCATTTGACTTGGCCTTTTGGGTATAACATTTTATTTGATTGCCTCAGTCAAGAATATCCAGCAGAAATAAAACTTGTATCTGAAACATCCTCTCCATTTCCTGAAAGGGGAGGGCTTATATTCCCTTAGCGGTGCTGCATGCATTCCAAGCAATTGCACAATATCCTAGAAACAGAGGCTGAGAGGATACTGGAGGTGCGGGACTGTTAATATGAAGAGTGCTGTTCTCCTGGGCACCAGCGTGCCTGTCAGAACATGCCTGATGCCTTCCAGGCTGACAGGCTTTGGCATTGCAAACAAGAGCTGTAGCATCTTTGCTGGGTGAGGCCTTTTGTTTAAAAGACTCAGTGTTGCTTAAACAGGGTGCTGGGTTACAAAATGGGCAGGGGCTGGATGAACTTCCTCCCTGACCACCTGCTCAAGCTCTTCCCAGTACCTTATTTTGGTTTGTTTAAGCGTAAATTATAGAAAAGGGGTTGTTTTGTGAAGCTAATGACTGTCATGGGGTTGTGCAGTAGGCTGGCACAGTCCCAAAGGATTAGGAAGGTGGGGTGTATATGTTTTTGGTGGCTCTAAGTGCACAAGTATATACATTATACAATTGCAAGAAGTGAATGTACTGTAAAGCTTTCTAGAGCTTACTTCAGATTATATTGAGTTACTGTTAAAGGAATAGTTCACCCAAAAATGAAAATGTACTCAAAAATTATTGGCCAAAATGGAAACTGAAAATGATTATTTTAAATTGTAATTATTTGTAAATATATATATTTTTAAACTAATTTAATTAAATTGTCTAATTATTTTTAATAATATAATAATTTAAAGTACTGGATAAAGACACAAAAACAGAATTTTGGGTAATATAAATATTTTTATTTTATAAAATGATTCTTTTAATTATTTTGAAATAACGGTTTCTGATAAAATTTTCTACTTTTTTTACTTTCGGTCGAAAACAAAAAAATTATAATTTTTTTTTTGTCTTCTTCGGTAGCCAAAATATTAGTTCATCCCTAATATATATATATATATATATATATATTCATTCCTACCATGTCCTACAGTTCCATAATGAATATGTTGGTTAACTAAATAAACACAAACAGTTAAGAGGACGTTTCTCAGCACAGTCAAGAGCTACTCTATATAAACCTGTATGACATTCTTTTTCTGTGGAGCACAAATACAATGCAAGTCAGTAAGATCCAATGTTGTTGTTTTGGACCCCATTGATTCCCATATACAGACAAAAACAGTTGAAACATTCTTCAGAATATCTTTAGGTTTGGAACAATGTGAGGAAGAGACTAAGAGACTTCTGGAAATGCAGGAACGTAGGGCTGGAACATATGTTGGGAATCATTGTAAGGGTGGAATTGGATGTCAAAGCCTTATAACAAAGATTTCCTCAATCTAGCTATGCCATTGCTGCAGCCTGAGGCCAGGGATGTTGATTGGAAAACTACGGAGCACCCAGCTGGTATGCAACTTAAAATCATGGGCTGGTCTTGGAACCTGCTCGCTGTGTTCTCACATCAGCCAGAGGTTCTGGCGCCATCCACTATATAAGCTCTTTAAAACTGGCACTAAAGCTTAATGGCACAGGCTCTGTGGATGCGGTGGCTGATGTTTCTTAAAGACCGTTCCCATAGTCAGAGCTCGGAGAGGGACCAGGAGCAGTGCACTTGTTGCCCAAGCCGTGGAACAATGGGCCACTTTGTTACCTTTCATCCTCGGCACGGGCAGATGGAACACATTAGCGGAACGTTCCACTGGATGAGCTCTGCGGGGCTGCCGAGCACGTAGAACAGGACCCGGCATGATGTCATCATTTCGTTCAGTTGTTTCACAGTTTGGACGCTGATGTGTTTGAGAGACTCGCACTAGGAGGTGGTCTGTCAGCAGTATCCTGACTGTGGCGTATATTGG